TTGAACTCAGGACCTCTGGAAGAGCAGTCAGTGCTCTTAACCTGTGAGTCACGCTCCAGCCCCTCGAAAAAATTTTAAAAAAGAGTTTTCACCAACTCAATTACACCTGGCAAGGTGTTCAATATGTGTGCCCTGTGACTTACAAGTCGGCACAGGAAATAGGAACCATTCAGCACGGATGAGATGGGGGACCAACACAGCCATTTTCCCCCCAGCAGCAACTACGTAGGCAGAACAAGCTCGTAGCACTCTTTCCCACCAAACCGGGAGCAGTCCAGCTAGCACCAGACCCTCACTCTAAAACCTACGATGACCAGGAGCACAATATATAAAATGTCACAGTAACACAAGGACAACCATGGTCATCTCCATAGCTGCAGAAAAGGCATTTAATAAATTCAACATCCTTTCATAATAAAAATCCTGAACAAGTTAGGGACAGAAGGACCATAAGGAGGGGCTGGGGAGATGGCTCAGAGGTTGGGGGCACTGGCTGCTCTCCCAGAGGACCCAGGTTCAATTCCCAGTACCCACAGGGCAGCTCACAACTGTTTCTAGCTCCTGTTCCTGAGGATCTGACACCCTCATGCAGACATACTGCCAGGAGAAAACACCAATACACATAAAATAAAAATAAATACATTTGTTTAAATTTTTTTAATTCATCTTCAAAAAGAAACAAAAACAAAAACACAAAGGACCATAACTGAACACAATGAAAACCATTTATAGTAATAAATATGTGGGACCAGAGAAGTGGTCCAGCAGGTAAAAAGACTGGCCAGATAAATCTGATGCCCTGAACCTGATCCCTGGAATCATTGTAAAAACTTCGACATTGTTGAACATCTGCAAGCACGCCTACAGCAAGACTGAAGGAAGGAACTGCCCAGAAGCTCACAGGCTGGTTAGCTTGGAGGACGGGGCACAGACAAGCAGACAGACTGCCTCAGAAATGAGCTGGAGGGGAACAACCAATACCCAAAAGCTGCCTTCTGACCTCACATGTCCCAACACGCATGCCCACATTCTCTCTCACACACACACAAAGGAAGGGAGGAAGACATACAAAAGCACTTCTGTTTGAGAGAGAAACAGAGGCAGAGAGGCAGAGAGACATATGATTCGCATTATACTGATGGGGGAAATTTGAATGCTTTCTCTAAGATCTGAATGGAAAAAAGTATGCCCACGTGCCCCACTTTTTCTTCAACACAGCTGTGTTTAATTGCACACAGCTGGAAACATTACCTGACTTCAAAATACTATACAAAGGGTAGACAGATGGCTCAGTGGTCAAGAGCACTCATTGCTCTTCTAGAAGATACTTGTTCATATCCCAGAACTCACGTCAGGCAGCTCACAACCACAGCTTCAAGGGGATCCAATGCCCTCTTCTGGCCCCTGTTGACACCAGCAACACAGAGACACATACAAAGCTCTACAGGACAAACAAAAGGAACAGAACAGACCCTAGAAGTAAACCCATGCCCTGACAACCATGCTTTTCAAGGAAGGTGGTGAGGACACGCATGGGACAGCCATGCCAACAGTGCTGAAGACTACCCACAGACAGAAGAGGAGAACTAGACCCCTACTCCTTCTCCACCAGTCCCACAAAATACACCCCAAAACGGATAAACCTTCAATGTAAGACCTGACATTAGGAAACTTCTAGAACAAAAGACAGGCTGCTCTCAAACCCACAGCGTTCCTCCCGCTTCAGCTTCCCAGCTCTAGAATGGCAGGCGGGAGGCACCAAGTCTGAAAGGAGATTATGGTGTTATATAATGTCAGCTAGGAACAGAACAGAAAGTACCTCAGGACCTCAATCACAGATGGAATCTAAGAGCTGATCTCACAGAACTGAGAGCACAGGAAGTGAGGTGGTAGTGTTGACCACTGTGTGCTCAAGAGAATCAGAGACCACTAGAAGGCTCTGGAACACTATCACGTAGTCACGTGGCCACAGAAAACAATAACACCAAGAACCTGTAGGAAACTGTTTGTGATGTTTTCAGGAAGAAGAGGAGACACAGCTTTCCTCAAAGAGCTGCCTGTTCTGGTGGAGGGCATCAGAGGCTCAACACAATTACACAGCATGGCTGGTGGGTGAGCATTTACTTGGGGCCACAGCAAGACCACCTATCATTCTCACACAAAAACACAAGTCTAGTCTCCCTGACCCCTTTCCCACATTCCCGGATGGAGTATTCCAAACAGGAGACAATTCTAATTTGAATGAAGTCAGTTTTATGAATTTTTATTGTTTAAGCTTTCTGTCTGTATATCTTTGCCTACCCCAGATTGCAATAATCCTCTCCTACATTTTCTTCTGGTGGATTCTAGTTTGATTTGTTATGTTTGAGTCTAAGATCTACTCTAATATAAAGTTTGAACTAGTATAAAAAAAACACAGAGTCTCACCTTTTCCTGTTGTTCTAACATCATTTACTGAAAACATCTTTTCTCTTAGTTTCTCTTGAAAAACCCCTTGGCTATTGGTATATGAAATTATGAAATGAAATATGAAAGCAATGAAATATGAAAACTCTTAGGAGTGCCTGGAAATCCCAGAAAGGCCAACAGAGTCATGTCTGTTGAAAGGGAGGGGGGATCAAAGTTTCAGTCTTATTGAAAACATACAAAAAGAAGAAAAAAGATTATATTGAACCAAAAGGATTTAAAATACATACCAACTGGCAAGAATTTTTTGCTTAAAGAAAGACACAGCAAGAGAATCTAATTCATTGGAGATTTTTAAGGAAAGGCAAGCAGGTTACCATGGGGAAATATTCAAAAACAGATCTCCCATGCTCAAGATGATGTCCTTTCTTGCATGAATCTCAAATATAGCACTTAATAATCCCTTTGGCTTTTGGGCTCAGAAAGTTCTTTACTTATCCAAATACTGGATAAAGATGAACCATATTTCATATTGCATTTTAAACTATTTTTATCTTTATTTGATGAAATGGTATGGGAAGAATCTTGGACTTTCTTCCCCAAAGTTTTGTCAATCGTCTTAGTGATCACTGATATAAATAACTTACACATTTGGTTGCATCCAAAGAAATTCTAGACACTTCCCTAAATTGCTACCTTTAGGCAGTACTTAAACTCCATTTTATTTTAACAATCACTGAAGATATCCGAGGGTGAACAGACAGCTCTATCAGGGCCCATCTGCATCTTCAAAAGCTCCAGTCACAAGATTTGAGCCAGAAAACAGATGACATCACCACCAAGAACATGAAGTACCCAGAAACAAGAGTCCTCTGTCTGGGCCAGCACACTAACTAGTTACTCTCTGAGAAAAGAGCCAAGAAGGGACGGGGACCCTGAGGTAGCCTGAAAAACATAAAGGCAGGTAAAGATGGCATGGTGTTTTACAAGTCACCTGACCAGAAACAAACAAATGGTCAATAACACCCAGTCATTTGGATATTCTACACTATAAGCCTACACAACTCTCTGGCATGTGCTTGTGCACACGTGAGCGCACACACACACACATACATACTCATCTCAGACTACTCAGTCAGATGATCCAGTGCATAATGACTCTAGTGAACGACAAGGCCGTTTTCAAGATTCAAGTCAGGAGGAAATGATGAGTAACAAGGAGTTATCCTCTCAGCCTTCCAGTTCACTAGCAAGGAAACCAGGCGCCAGAGCTGAAATGGAGTAATTAAGAAACTGGATGGAGCTGAGTGCACTCGCTCGAAGCCTGAGAAGCGATGGAGCAGCAAGCTGGGGTCCATGTTCCCAAACATTTTCTCCTTCTACTGGAAGCACTCGTATAGCATCGACCTGTACCACCCAAACCTCAAGCCCCAGACTACCAGAGCCTTCCATTTTTCTTTTTATAAAGCCATAAGTATAAATTTGTGTATGAATCTCCTGTTTCTTAAAATAAGCAAATTAATCAAGTTTCTTTTAAAAAAAATCACACACACACACACACACACACACACACACACACACACACACACACAGAGTTTAAACTAGACGTACTTATAGGATATTTTTATAAGCAAGGTTAGCACAACCCAACGGTAGGCTCACTCGGTTTCTAAACACCCCACCTGACTCCCACCTTCATCCACCCCTAATATGTAAATTAGCAAAAGCTACACATGTCAATGGACTGTGGGGTGGAATGTGGAGTGTGAGTAAAGGTTGACACTCATCTTAGAAACTAAAGAACAACTGTGGACAGTTGGCTTGGTTAGACTGCTGAACCAAACTGAATATTTTGTAATTATTGGTAAAGAATAAGTCTCACATCTCCAAACATGTCAAATAAGGTTTTTTTTCTTTCTTTCTGATCCCCTTCCCCATACTTTTTAATGTTGTCTGATTCTTGAGTCAGGGTCTTGCTATGTAGCCCAGGCTGGCCTCAAATGTGTGCTCTTCCTGTCTCAACTAAGTGCTAGGATTATAGGCATGAGTCATCACACCTGTGTCCTTTCTTTGAAAACTATTAAAATGGACTTCAGATGCCCAATTTTATGCATCAGTAATAACTAACAGCTCTCAGGGTCACAGCTCTGGTCAAAAGGTCTACCATGTTCAATCAAGCAACGGCATGAACCTCAAGAAAAAAGATTATAAGCTAAAGTGACAATCACATCCATTGAAAAATGCTGTACAATGTTCAGCTTCTACACAAAGTAGACTGATTACTTACTTTAAAAGACAACATCCTGCTTCAAACGAGGCAACATGTGATTTCAATCAAAGCAACATCCTATTTCAATCAAAGTCAAGAAGTTTAAGAGATGAATCAACGCTATGAAATTCAACCTACATATGTAGATATTTCCTTTTATCCACAGACTACATTAGATACTCTTTGTAATCATGTAAACAAATTATAATCTTCCACAATCTAGGTTTTCTTTTCCATTACAGGAAGATGCTTAATTTGGAAAAAAAAAAAAAAAAAAAAAAAAGTGATTTCCAGTGCAGATGTCTCATGCATGTTCACTTTGGAAGGATGGATAATAGAGAAGGTTAATACATTTTACCAGACACATCCAATAGTTGTGATGGTGTAAAAGAAAATGCCCCAAAAGGAAGTGGCACTATTAGGAGGTATAGCCTTGCTAGAGTAGGTGTGGCCTTGTTGGAGGAGGTGTGTCACTGTGGAAACGGGCTTTGAGATCTCATACATGCTCAAGATACTGCCCAGTATCTCAGTTCACTTCCTTCACCTGTGAATCAAAGATGCAGAATTGTCCAGCAACATGTCTGCCTGCCACCATGCTCTCTGCCATGATGATAATGGACTGAATCTCTGAAACTGTAAATCACCACCTCAGCTAACTGTTTCCTTTATAAGAGTTGCTGCAGTCACGGTGTCTCTTCACGGCAATAGAAACCCCAGCTATGACAATAGTCTCTTCTGGCTAATAGCTAAAAGCAAAAAATGCCCTAGTGCCCATCATTATCTACCTCAAACCCTTTATATTTTATGGGGTAACTAATTCTGATATCAACTCGGAATGGAGCCAGTTTTAACTCCTAGCTCAGCCCAAAATGAATAACTGTGAAGGACAAATGACATAAAAAAAAAAAAAAAAAAAAAAAACAGATTCAAATTGGAATTTGTGTTTTAAAGAAATCCTGCAAGTCACTCTGCTTCCAAAACAAATAATTTTACCACATAATACTATAAAAATGGAAAATGAGAAGAAACTTTAGGAAATGATTTTTCAATCCCGTCTTTAGAACTCTAGTCTAAAAATGCTAGTGGCAGTAGGTAAGGATAATGAGAGCCTACTCATTTAGTCCACAAGTATCCTCAACAGCAGCAAGAGTTCATCATTAGTCACAAGATGCCATACGTTCATAAGACCCAATCAAACACAGCTGAAAACAAAATACCAAAACGACTCAGCAGTCTCAAGACTCCATAACAGAGCTGGCTTGGTGGCACATTACTGGTACTCACATAGGGGAGGAGGAGGGTTAGGAGTTCAAGGCCAGTCTCAGCTACATAGTGAGTTTGAAGCCAGCTAGGTCTGCATGTGACTATCGAAAAATCAAATCAAAACCAAAACATCCATAAAGATCAACTGGCGCCGGGCAGTGGTGGCGCACGCCTTTAATCCCAGCACTCGGGAGGCAGAGGCAGGCGGATCTCTGTGAGTTTGAGGCCAGCCTGGTCTACAGAGTGAGATCCAGGAAAGGCACCAAAACTACACAGAGAAACCCTGTCTCAAAAAAAAAAAAAAAAAAAAAACTGACTTAAATAAAATACTCAAAAGATTTATCACTCTTAAAATCCTATAATAAACTAAATAAGTCCTCCATTTATCCCCAGTGGTGATATGTATAAAAATAATCACTCCTAAGACAAAGTGGCTCAGTGGGTAAAGCACTTGCTGTGGAACCTGTACAAATCTGGAAAGGGAAAACCAACGGCACAAAGTTGATCTCAACACACATACACACACACACACACACACACACACACACACCACATACATACACACACATGTAGTTACTATTACACTCATGGTTTATAGGGACTGTATTTGTTGCTGTCAGAGAACCTAGAGAGGCATGAATCTAGAGTACACTGCTGAGTTTGGGAAACTCCTTCACATACGGCTGACATTTCGTTCAGATGCTAAGGAAGGGATGCAAAGAAAACTAAACCAAGTCAAACTGGAAGGGGAAAGATTGCTGACGCCTGTGACGCTGAGGAACAAGAGTATGCTAATTCCTCTCACATCTATGTAACTGATGATATTGAATGATATTCACGCAGCATGCATTTTGACAAAAAAAAAATCCTTACAGAGCACAGGGCAATCTCATTTCTAGAGAGAAAGGAACATAGCAATAATGGACTTTCCCCTTCCTACCATGTTTCCTTCACAGTGCAAATTCTAAGGTATAAATCTATATGAAGAATAAAAACAAGTTTTACCTGAATAATGTTACTGTTTTTATGCTGCATATTTCAAGTATCAAATAGTCCTATAAAAACGAGTAATAAATTACCTTCTAAATGACAATATACCTCCTATAACTGACTGCTCCTGAGGTCACCTAGAATAATTGATTTAGTCATGAAGAGTAAATGTCAAATTTACATTTTTCTCTACAAACACTGTTATGGTCTTATACAACATTCCGGTCCTCTTTTAGAAATAAAACCTGCTGGGTTTTGATTTAGGTTTTACAATCAGGTTAACTAAGTTCTTCTACTCGTTTCTGAGTAAGGACTAAGCGATCGGTCATTTTTTATTTTGAAGATGCCTATATGGCTAGCTTTTACTGTGCAGGAAGGTACTATACAGGCCGCTGTGGGCAAACCATCGCCAACCGTGTTACCCAGCTGTGGACCATGCACTGGAGCCACATTGGCGTGATTGCTAATGGAGGTAACCAACCACTCACTGATTGGATTTCAAGTCCTGCTCCATGGGAAGGAATTAATACCCGGTATTTCAAACCTGACTTAAAAAAAAAAAAGCCCGACACCAGTGGAGAAGCTCCCACTATTGTTTTGGTAAATGTTAGACCCGTCATCTGCCTTCTGACGATGCATGCTTAGGGCCATAGGATAGCACTGCTATCAGCTTTGGTCGGAGAAGCTCCTCTCTCAGTGGATGATGGTAACTGCCAAGACTTACAACTGCTCAAAGTGCTCAGAGTAAGCGACTACTGAATGATCTGCCAGAGATGGGACATCCTATCACCCCCGCCCCCCATGGCTCAGGGAGCATCGCAGAAAGGGGAAGGAGGAAGATGAGGCAGAGGAAGGGGGTGGTGCTGTCTTCCAGGTACGACATGGCTGTTTCACCCGTGAGCCCCCAGCAGCTATGATCACCCACATAAGATTGGGCACAGCAACATGGCATCATGGGTAAAAATTTATACAGGCAGTTAAAGATGGCGGCGGGGAGGTCAGGAGTCCCCGTTCCACCCTGAGAAACTGTCAGCAGTTCATGGCGGCTGGGGATAGGGAAGCATTTTCTTCAGTGGGTGTAACCACAAGGTGTGAAGGTCCTATAAGTAGCTCTTACCAACGCTTCGATAAGGGAACCTAGTGAAACTCTTTGGGTCCTGCACACAAAAAAAGAGAGACATGAAAGCGGACGTGTACGAGAAGCACAGGAATGGGAAGACAGAAGGAAGGACAACGCATTGTATACGGGTATGAAAATGTCTTCCAGAGACCCATTATTACATATAATTAATATATGCTAATAAAAATAAAATACTCAAGGATGAAATTCTCAAAAAGTTACGAATAAATAATTTATCACATAAATATTAAAAACACAGAGAAAAAGATATCAAAACTAAATTTCAAATGGGAACTTTTTTTTTTTTTTAAAGAAAAGACGACGTTCTGAGCTTTTGCTACTGGAACTCTCAAGACAGTGGCGACAGAAGATTCACTATCAACATGCAGATACACTGGTTATCTATTCACCTAGGACACTGACGAAAGCGTCAAAGAGATGGAACGTGAGCAGGGGCTCCTTCAGGTGACCGTAGTAATCCGCTATAGTTTTAAAGACATCTTTCTCAAATCCCAAGTACATCGGCTGCTTCCAGTCTGAACAGTTGGGCCCTTTAAAAGAAGACAGAGAATGATTAATGAGGCAGCTGCTTCTCAGTACCACAGTCTGACCACATGTGGTGTATGCACAGATATTCAAGATATACTGACAAGTTTCATGTGGAAATGACATATACCTTTTGCTCAAATATGATTAATGTTTAATTGAATATATTATAAAAACGAAGAGCATTAATGTATCTCCATTTTAAAAGAAAAACATGCTTTTCTCTTTTTATGTCAAGGCAAACTTTATTCATGTAAATAATTTTTTTAAAAACAGTCAACATTTTCCTAGTCTTAATAAAGTTAATAAAATAACAATTTGTTGCCGCACAGCGGTGGCGCACGCCTTTAATCCCAGCACTTGAGAGGCAGAGCCAGGTGGATATCTGTGAGTTTTAGGCCAGCCTGGTCTACAGAGTGAGATCCAGGACAGGCACCAAAACCACAGAGAGAAATCCTGTCTCAAAAAAAAAACCAAAAAAAAAACCAATATGTTAATATGTGATAGATGAGTTATCAAGAAATTTTTACAGCTTCTTGAGTTCATTAGCTATACTATAATATCCTCCAAGCATTCAGTTGAGTGAAGTAATCAGTTTCTCCTAACAAACTATTTCAGACAAATGAAATTTTAAATGCTTTTTTAAAAGATAATGAGAAAGATTTTATATTCTGTCTTGTCAATTCACTCTAAACTCTAACAATCACTGCCCAACTATTCAAAGAAAACTGATCACAGAGCCTGGACCTGACCGTGTCCTATGCCAACAGAGGGAGGAGGAGAGCTCCACTAGAATCCGGGTCCCATGAGGAATCAAAGATGATGAGCACAGGTTTACACCACCATGTTCCGGGTAAAGTGGAGGTGCCGGAGCCTTGAGGAAAACAGCTTGTCCCAAGAAGACCATAGAAGAAATGGAGTGCAATTATGGTGACCAGCTCCAGGCCAGCAAAGGCTAAGCCATTACACCCAGATGGACTGATGTGCCCAAGAGAATGAACAAAGCAACAAAAATGAATTCAAGGAAATTCTCCCCACAGAACTGCAGGAGCTAAGAGATTCTAGCTGTAACACAGGAAACCATTCTGGATCATGACATTCAATCCCCAAGGACATCATAAAATGGCTCTTTATGATGCCCCTAAAAACTCCTTTACTGGGAGCTGGGAAGATGGCTCAGAGGTTAAGAGATCAGCTCCCAGTGCCCACATCAGATGGCTCACAACCATTTATAACAGAAGCTCCATGGGATCCAACGCCCTCTTCTGACTTCTCTGGGTACCTCTGCTCACATGCACACACACCTACACAGACACATGCACATATATATAGTTAAAAAATAAAATCTTTAGATGAAAACAAAACTTCTCTTACCCTTCACAGTCTGTTCTCTTCTTTAAAAAAAAAAAAAATTGGCTAAAATAATGTTGTAGTGCATAAACCTAGGAGTAAATGTATAAAACCATGTTTGTTTACTTCCTCCTCATATAGCAAGCTTAGTCAAATGATGGTCTGATGTATCTCAACAAGCAAGACCCATTGCCAGAATTAGTGCTTAGCAAGGTGAGTGATTAATTCTAAACAATTATATGCCTTGAGAATATGTCATCATCTTTGTTAAAAATATGGGGGGAAATCCCTAAAAGAAAACATAAACCTTTTCTTTCTTAATCACCTTGAGTTTTAAGAACATTTTTTTCCTTAGACTAGTTTTTAATAAATGTTGTTCCTGACAGATTCTGAAATGAAATGCTTTGGCTACTTATTTCCATTTTTGACTGGGTCTTCTGATGCATACACACAAAGAAGCAAAAGAAATCAGTTAATCTAGTTTTGCATTACTTAGCCTCAGTCTTCTTTCTGTGAGCATCCTGGAAAGGGTCTGGCTGACAAATGAACATGCAGACCCGTGTATGCACAGTCTACAGTGAGGACTGAAGGAGCACTCAAGAGAGAAGGAAGAGCAGCAGGCTTGTGGAAAAGAGGGCAAGTAGCCCTTACCACATCAGACAGGCGGCCTATCCCCTCTTAGAGGACTCAATAGGAATCCGTACTTATTCGCGATAAGGACAAAGAGTAGGTCATACCTTTGACAGACTCAAAGCAAATTTTGATGGACAGGAGAATTTGGGAAAGCTGGAAATTTTAAAAAAATATCCAATAGGCTGGCCTTGTCCTCTGCCCACCTTTTATATTTGATACATAAACAAACCTCCATAATATGCTAACCATTTGTAAAGGTTGCTCTCAACACATGTGAGCATGCTCCTTCTCCCAACACTCTGAGTCTCACACCTATAGCAATTATAAAGTCACACATACTCAATTATAAAGTCTTTCCTCTACTCAATGGCCAGTCATGCCAACCTTGCTTCAGGTGTTTGTGGCTTTAGGTGTCAAATGGGGAACTGATTATACGCTTCCGTGCATTCCAGTCTTCACAAAAGTCAAACACATAAACACATCTTACAGCATTTTAGCACACTTTATGGCTTCATTCCCAACTGGTAACTTCCACATCTTTGGTTCTCCAGGAGCTCAGAAGGAGTGTTGGAGCTTCGTAACTGTACATTTGTTTCCTCAATGCCTCCTCTGGCCAAAGATGTAACTTCTAGTTAATTTACTACAGTTTAAGTAGTTGAGCAGAAAGAATAAAAGGTACTTCAGGGCCAGAGAGATGGCACAGTGGATAAAGACACTCAAGGCCCCGTCTGACAACCTAGGCTCAGTCCCCAGAAACCGTAAGATGGAAGAAGAGACTTACTCCTACAAGTATCCTCTGGCCTCCACACGCTTACTATGGCATGGCAATGACCACCCACACACACACCACGTAATTTTAAAATTTTAAGTAAAGTACTTCCCCAAGTTAAAGCCACATTACTCTACATCTCAGAGTGTTCAAAATATCAACAAAAATCAATGAAACTTCCAAGCATTAAACCTGGAAAACTCTGAGTTGTATGCAAACTGGTATTGCTATGCATGTTCAGAAGGAGAGGGAAAAGCCATCTCCACACAGGGCCATTAAGACAACCATACAAGGCTCAATGGTTAGTTAGTTTCTATAATTCTATAATTCAAACAAAAGTGACTCCAGTTTAATCAATAATTCAGTTTACTAATTCAGTAACTTATACATCTATCGATGCATATGCTGATCCTACACAAAAATAAGAAAGTAGCTATTTCCTGAAACAGCTGTGAGACTCAAGAGCTTCTCTAAGACCAAATATTGTCATTACTAATCAGCTAAAATAACAAAGATTCTCATTGAAATCACATGTTTGGGCCAGATCAGACAGTTCCTCGGGTGAAAGTGTTGGCCATTGGAGCCTAATGATCTGAGTGAAGATCCCCAGCATTGACAGTAGAAAGAGGTGATTCCTGCCGGGCGGTGGTGGCGCACGCCTTTAATCCCAGCACTCGGGAGGCAGAGCCAGGCGAATCTCTGTGAGTTCGAGGCCAGCCTGGGCTACCAAGTGAGCTCCAGGAAAGGCGCAAAGCTATGCAGAGAAACCCTGTCTCGAAAAACCAAAAAAAAAAAAAAAAAAAAAAAGAGGTGATTCCCCCAGATCATCTTCTAACCTCCAGATACTCACCACAGCATGCACACATCTGTATGCACATCTATATGCGCACATACGTATCACACATACAATAATAATGAGTGTTTTTTCCTTTAAATATTAGAAACCATTCTTTGGGTTAAGTTTCCTGAAAATCCCAAGAAAATGGCAGTGTTCATGAGCTATTATTATACCATTCCTTCACAGTGCTGATGATAGTCAATGAAACACATGCCACGTGTCTGCTGAAGAGATCTTACATGCCTATGAAAATCCCTCGGGCCCACCCTGGTCCAGGCCTCCAGATCTTACATGCAGGTTTCTAAGATAGTCTTTCTTGTTTCTCTGCATGCAGCTCCTCTCCTTCTAAGCCATCCTGCATATCAGTCAGGTTGGCTCTCTAAAACACTCTGTCCCTCTTAAAACACTGCGCTCTGAAACCCAGGAGAGGATGGAGGCTGCTTAGCAAATGAGATGTGAATATGATGGACACTTAACCACCACCTTTTAGGAATAAAATAAAGCCTATAGACCATTAGCAGGTAGCTGCTACTACATTATATACACTGTCACTCATTTCTTTCACCCCTATGATGCTCCTAGGACTGGCATGGACTTGATGCATGATTATATCCATGAGACCAAAGAAAAACTAAGTCTTTAAAACTGGATTATAACAACACTGTCACTAAGTCATGAATCTACCAGTAAAGCACAGTGGTTGCCAAACAATTCCCTGCCAGCCTCACAGGTGTCAAATCAATGTCCAGCCCATTGAGCAAGAATGTTTTCTAATTCAAGGCACTAATTTCTGTTAATTTTATAAAACTGGCACATAATTAGTACTTACAATTTGCCAAACACTTCATAGCTGAGAGGACCCAGTGAGGAAGTTCTTCTGTAGAAAAAAAGGAAAATACAAAAGATATTTTATTCATCTCTTTATAACTCAATCAAATACACACATACACACACACACACACACACACACACACACACACACACACACAGTATTATAAAAATGTATCATTTGCCTGGGTAATATGAGACATTTCACCAATTTGTGTATCAGAACATTTAAACATAGACCAATGAAATCGAATTGAAGACCCTGACATTAATCCACACACCTATGAATACCTACCTGGTTTTTGACAAAGAAGCCAAAACTATACTGCTGGGGGATATCTCTCTGTATGCTGTGAATATATGTTGTTGCCATTGGTTAATAAATATGCTGCTTTGGCCTATGGCAAGACAGCTTAGAGGCAGGCAGAAAATCCATAGAGAAAGACAGGAAAGAGCAAGGCAGAGTCTGGAGAAAGGCCAGCCTGCTGCCCAAGGAGCAACATGCCAGCAGATGGTAAAGCCACGGAACATGTGGCAAAACATAGATTAATAGAAATGGGTTATTTTAAGATATAAGAGCTAGCTAGCAAGAGGCCTCCCATAGGCCATACAGTTTATAAATAATATTGAGCCTCTGACTGATTATTTTATAAGTGGATTGGTGTCTGTGGGGCAGGCAGAACTGGAGAAACTGAGCAAACTTATGACTACACTGTACAATGGAAAAAAGAAAGTATCTTCAACAAATGGTGCTGACATAACTGGATGTCAATATACAGAAGATGGCAAATAGATTCATATCTATCACCATGCACAAAACTCAAGTCCAAGTGGATCAAAGACCTCAACATAAATCCACTTGCACTAAACCTGATAGAAGAGAAAGCAGGAAATAGCCTTGAACACATTGGCACAGAAGACCATTTCCTAAATATAACACCGGTAGCACAGATACTGAGAGCAACAGTTAATAAATGGGACCTCCTGAAACTGAGAAGCTTCTATAAGGCAAAGGACACAGTCTATAAGACAAAAAGACAGCCTACAGAATGGGAAAAGATCTTCACCAACCCCACATCTGACAGAGGATTGATCTCCACAATATATAAAGAACTCAAGAAACTAGACATCAAAATACCAAACAATCCAATTAAAAAATGGGCTACAGAGCTAAACAGAGAATTCTCAACAAAAGAATCTCAAATGGCTGAAAGACATTTAAGGAATTGCTCAATATCCTTAGTCATTAGGGAACTGCAAATCAAAACGACTCTGAGATACCATCTTATACCTGTCAGAATGGCTAAGATCAAAAACACTGAAGACAGCTAATGTTGGAGAGGATGTGGAACAAGGGAAACACTCCTCCACTGCTGGTGGGAGTGCAAACTTGTACAGCCACTTTGGAAATCAGTATGGCAGTTCCTCAGAAAACTAGGAATCAATCTTCCTGAAGACTCAGCTATACCACTCTTGGGCATATACCCAAGGAATGCTCAATCATACCACAACGACACTTGCTCAACTATGTTTATAGCAGCATTGTTGGTAATAGCCAGAACCTGGAAACAACCTAGATGCCCCTCAACTGAAGAATGACATAATAAAAAACAATGATATCATGAAATTTGCAGGAAGATGGATGGAACTAGAAAATATCCTGTGTGAGGTAACCCAGACTCAGAAAGACAAACATGGTATGTACTCACTCATATGTAGATACTAGATGTAAAGCAAAGGATAACAAGACTACAACCCACAGCTCCAGAGAAGCTAGCTAATAAGGAGGACCCTAAGAGGGATGAATGGATCACCCTGGGAAGGGGAAACAGATGAGATCTCCAAGAGTGTGGGAATGTGTGTAGGGGGGGAATAGAGGGTACAGGATGGGGAATGAGAACATAAAGGAATGGGATGGTCGAGCTGGAACAGGGACGAAATGGGAGAGCAATGAAAGAGATAGAGGGAGACATCATGGGGGTAGGGAGAAACCGGGTGCTAGGGAAGTTCCCAGGAATCCACAAGGATGACCCCAGCTTAGACTACTAGCAATAGAGGAGAGGGTGCCTGAACTGGCTTACCCGAGTAATCAGATTGGTGAATACCCTAACTGTTATCATAGAACCTTCATCCAGTAACTGATGGAAGCAGATGCAGAGATCCACAGCCAAGCACCAGGCTGTGCTCCAGGAGTCCAGTCAAGGAGAGGGAAAAGAGATTCTATGAGCAAGAGCATCAAGATCATGATGGGGAAACCTACAGAGATAACCGAACCAAGCTAGGGGAACTCATGAACTTTAGACCAACAGCTGTGGAGCCTCCATGGGACTGGACTAGGTACTCTGTATAAGCGAGGCAGTTGTGTAGTTTGGTCTGCTTAAAGGGGCCCCTGGCAGTGGGATCAGGATCCATCCCTGGTGCAAGAGCTGGCTTTTAAGAGCCCATTACCTACCTTGCACAGCCTTGATGCAGGGGGAGGGGCTTGGACCTGCCTCAATTGAATGTACCAGGCTTTGCTGACTCCCCATGGGAGGCCTTACCTTTTCAGAGGAGGGAATGAGGGGTAAGTTGTGGGGAGGAGGCTGGAGGGGGGAAGGCAGGAGGAGGGAAGAGAGGGGGATCTGTGGTGGTATGTAAAATGAATAAAAAAATTCTTAATAAAAATAATATTAATGATAATACAGAGTATCCAAGTCAACCTAACTCATTGATACCACTGTGAAATGGTAAGTCAGAAACCTAAATATGGGGTTGAAACTGTAGCTCAGTTAGTAGAGTACCTGCCTAGCATACACAAGGCCCTGGGTTCAGTGCCCAGCACCACGCCAACTGTTACATGGTAATGCATGCCTTGACTGCAGCATTCAGAAGGTGGAGGCAGGAGGTGATCCTCTACTGTTGAGCTTGGGCTGCATAACACCCTAACTCCAAAACAAAAAAGAAGAAACTTAAATGCAATCAGACCTAAAACTGACTGGGGCACTTCCTCGGGACTTAAACATTCTCGTGTGTCTGGAAGTGTTCCTAGCGACAATATGGAAGCATTTACCATTCTGGCAGCTAACAGTGAACTAGACTCTGAGTGCACTGTGCAGAGTCTTCATGCCTGAACATGCATCTTTCTACGACACTAATAAACCAAACACTGGACAAAAGGCACTCATAGAAGACAGGATATATGTAGCGAGGGGATAAACTTAGCTAGGGTTTAGGAAAGGCTCAAATGGGAACTAAGAGATCTGTTAGCCAATGTGTAGTCAAACCAGAGCAAATGGCTGGCATGCACTTACTTGACTTATCATCCAAGATGACAACTCCCTGCTTGCTGACACTATACACGTTATGGATGATGAACTTGGAGTTGACAAGTTTGATGTTTAAAACTTCTTCCAAGGAATCCAGGCCAAGGATTTTCTGTAAACTAAAATGATAAATAATGTATTCTGAAAATAAATTTCAAAGTTTCAAAGTACTATAATCATTTATTTCAGTTGTGCTAAATACTACTACTAGTGAGCAATACAAAAGATTCTCTCTCTTTCCGTGTATGTGTGTGTGTGTGTGTGTGTGTGTGTGTGTGTGTGTGTAAGAGGTATTTATACATGTGAGGCAGTATGCACACCCATGCATGCTCATGTCCAGGTCACAAAAGGATGTTACATGTCTTCTCTGTAGCCCTCCACCCTGTTTTTATGAGACAGGGTCTCACTAAACTCGGAGCTCACTGTTTCAGCTAGCTGGCCAGCAAGCTCCTGCAATCTACCTGTCTCTACCTCACAATGCTAAGGTTACAGGCATGGGCTAGCATGTCAGTCTTTACATGGGCACTGGAGATTTGAACTGAGGTTCTCTTTGCTTTTACAGCAAGTACTCTTACCCACTGAGTATTCCCTCCTCTCCTCAAAAGACCGATCTTTAGGGTACATTGTCTTTCTAGACAATGGGTTAGAAATGGAATACGTTTAAAATATCCTTTCCCAATAGCATACTTCTTTAATTACTTAATCACAGAATAACCTGAGTTCCAAGAAACTATTTTTTAACTAAAATTACTAAAGGCCAGTCAGGTGGTGGTGACACACGCCTTTAATCCCAGCACTCGGGAGGCAGAGGCAGGCGGATCTCTGTGAGTTCAAGGCCAGTCTGGTCTACAGAGCAAGATCCAAAACAGGCACCAAAACTACACGGAGAAACCCTGCCTCAAAAAAAGCAAACAACAAAAAAAAATTACTAAAGGCCAAATTTCCCATCATGTGCTTATTAAACTTAAGGTGTCAGTGACACTAAAAGTTTAAAAACTATAAATTGGGAATGGTAGTGCACACAATCCCAGCACTCCAAAGGTTGAGCAGAAAGATAAGAGAATTCAAGGCCAACTTGGATTACAAAGCAAAAGCATGCCTCAAGGGGTTAAAAAAAAATTTTAAAAGCATTTAAACTCCTATTTTAGCTCTTACATATCTAACAACAGGAAATTCTCAAAATCCAGTTCAATTATATATGTGAAACAGTGTAAGTACAGATTATGCAAATTTGAGATTGTTTTAAACATAAGTATGCATCGAGTAGGAAAGAGATAAAATAGAACGACGATCCCTCGAATCTCTCCAATGTCAAACGTGCATACTGTGATAATGTCATGGACTTCCAGATCTCTTCCACGTTGGCCTCGGTCAGCTGTCTGCGGTGGACTAGACGGCAAGCTGGCACCTCTCCAATAGCAATGCTATGGCGCTTGAACCACATCTCAGAATTCTAATTTGGCAGGAGGGGGACGGGGAGGAAGAAGGGATGAAAGGGGGCAGAACAGAGAGAGAAAGAGAATGCACATTTCAGTATAAAATGCCACTGTTTGTGAGAAGTGTCTTTGACTTCCCTTTTTGTAATTTGACTGAAAATAATGGTTAGAATCATAAACTAAGTTTCTCTGGGTGGACCTCTGAGAAGTAACGAATGACTCTCAAGATCAGGCCACATTACGATGAATGGCAGAAGACCTAAGGCAGTCAATATGACACTAAACCACTGCTACTTCCTGTGGGAGATCCAAATAACCAGTAAAATAAATGTTTATGAAGTTAAAGTTAAGTGCAGAAATGCTTGTCTTGATTCACACTCTCCCAACTGAGTAACCATTTAATATATATATATACCTTCTAGAGTTTTCTTTTGTAGGCAAATATCAAGTATGTATAATATTGGAAAGCAACCCAATCCTAGGTGACAGCTAAGGGCAGAAATGCAAGCGTCCTGCAAGGATAGCTCAGGATGGCTAAGACATGAGGAGTGAAGCCCTTCTAGAGAGAGGCTCCGGCTCAGGAGGCCCAGGCTGTCCAAGTCCCACAGCTCTCTACATCCGTGTTCCTAGTAGTTCATGTCCCACAGTTGGGCTATTAGACAAAAGTCAAATTCTTTTTTTTTTTCATCACAGAGAAGAGTTTTGACCTGTAAAAGGCAAAGTATATTAGAAAACATTCACAATGGGTTTCTAGAATATATTTTTGCAAATATAATGTTACAGAAAAAAATCTTATTAATTTGAAGAAAAAAATCAGACAAGTTTTATTTTTTGTTTTTGCTTTTTTAAAGAGGTGTGTGTATGTGTGTGTGTGTGTGTGTGAGAGAGAGAGAGAGAGAGAGAGAGAGAGAGAGAGAGAGAGAGAGATTGGGGGAGCACGTTTCAGGTGCCCACAGAAGCCAACAGCATTGAATTTACAATGGTTGATAGCCAGTAAACATGGGTACTGGGAACCAAACTTGGTTCCTCTACAAGAGCAGGAAGTGCCCTTAACTGAACTGCTGAGCCATCTCTCCAGCCCCTGCCTTGGCTTGAAAGAATTACCAAATTACAAATGAAATTCAAAGGCCAGATGGATGTGTGAATTTTTTGAAGTATCCAAATCAAGTGTTTGGGCTTGAAGGTAGATGGACTATTTATTACATTTGCCCTGCAAACCCATTTCCAAAGATATCCTAAAAAGTACTCCTGAATACACTTACGCTTATCTGTATAACATCTGTAAAGGTATTGTTTAGAACATTACATGTTGAAGAGCTGGAAAAACAGACCTAGCAATAAAGGACTGAGCAAATAAAATATATCAATTTATATTAGGCATAATGCAGATACTAAAATGATGTCAGATGTTTAATAATGTGAAAAATGGGCATAACATACTATTCTACATGAAGAACATGAGGTACAAAAACAGCCCAGTGTGACCTCATTGTGTTAAAACACAATATGCAACAAATGGGTACACAATAAAAATGTTAGCGGAGTAATTCTCTGTAGATACCACAATTACTTTCTCTGAAATAAATCAGTCATAGAAACTACACTTGACTGCTACTGAGAATCTTCATGTGGAACCCTGCCCTCAGCATGTTACAGGCATAAACTCAGCAGACCTCACAGTATCCTGCCTCACAGGGTACCAGCTGACTCTCCCAGTGTCCTGCCTCACAGGG